CTCTTCCAGGATACATGTTGGATTGGCCACGTGAACACATCCTCAGCCCGTCTCGAGCATCACAGACGGGTCCTTCAGGAACCCGGCCAAGTTCCGGATGTAGTCAATGGTGTCCTCGTGATGGGAGCCGTGGATAGACCGACCTTGAAAAACGCTTCTGTGAAGGGTGGAAAAATAGCAAAGACATGTCTCGAAGATCCCAAGTTCTGAAGCCGAACTCTAATGATTCTAATGCAAATTCGTCGAAGCAACGCCATCCTCAGTGCCCAGTGCAGGCCGGGCCGCACAGCTCGAGCTCTTCGCGGAAGAGCTGCTCGGCCTCCTCCAATTGGCCCATCGTCTTCAGCAAGTCGGCCAAGCTGTACATGCTGCTCATCGTCTCCGGGTGGGAGTCGCCGAGATGCGCCCGGCCTCGGGTTCCGCGATCAGAGGGATTGAACGGAGCATCTGTGTGGCGCAATCTCTTCTGACACCTACAGGTCTCCACAAGAAGTCCTGGTCTAATGCTCCAAGGCTTTGCATCTGGAGACAGAATATTTACAAAGTCTGGTGGGGCGGGCGGGGCAACCAAATCATTGCGTCCGTCCCCACAGCTGCCAAAACGGAAAGGAATGGCATGCCTCTTCACCACGATCCAAACAACAGAACCAACCCTCCTGGTTTTGGTGCAAGGTCGCATCATGCTACTTCCATCACCAGCTGGACAAGGCGCAACAACGCACCCCTTTACCGTGCTAAGTGCTTCTCAAACAAACTAACCGGCATGGTGTGTCCCTATCAAGAAAGCCTGCCCACAAGAGACCAAGTTCTGGTACCACAACTCCTGCAAGACCCCCGAAGCACGGCCAATCCAGCTTCTATTGGCAAGCCCATGAAATTGACGGTCTTCGCCGCGCGTCTCAAGGAAGCCGATGGCTCAAAGACCCGACACTACTCTGACACCTCACGCCGACTGAGGCGGCGGCGACCCGCCAGTGCCTGTCGATGCAACGGCTCGGCTTCGTCATGGCGCCTTTGAGCCTGCAGCTTGGTGCCACTTGACTTGTGCAGACCGGCAGATCCAAACGTACGCACAGCTCTAGAACTACAAAGAGTGGAAAGTGAGGCTGCATTTTGGCCCACTGCTCTTCTCAAGACTTCAACCATTGGACCCATTGCACCCTGCGGTCTAAAGTCTAAAGCTCGGGAAAAGCCAGCTCGAGGCCTGCAGGAGCAAAGCCAAGTTGTTCATCGAAGTCAGCGCGTCAGGATGCTCTTCACCAAGTTTGGCCCTGCCTCGGGGTCTTATCTCGTGTCACTTCAAAGCATCATGAAGCCTTCGCCTTCAATCCCTGTCGATCTCGCTCTGTAGCTGTTCACAGACACGCTCTGGATTCCACTGATTGAGTCTCCAGGATCCGGCGGCTTAAGACCTCACCTCGCATACGTTCAAGCTGCACACCCAGCCTTAAGGGCACCGTTTCCAGAACTCGCTTTAGTCCGAACAGTCAGGAGGCCGAAAGAGTCCGAGGAGTTGCAGACATCTGGCGTTCTTGCTCTGGCTACAACTTCAGATTGCATCCATCACCGACTGGGAGAATGTCTCCCTCAGGTGGTCCAGCACTACTCCTTCGCCTACGTCATCCAAAAACGGTCTTTCGGAAACTGCGACTATGTGAGAGCCAGTGTCGTAGCACAAAATCTTCAACCACAACCCCGAAAATCTAAGTCACCTACGTCAACTTCAGACTACCTTCACTGCACAAGTAATGGAGCTCATGACTCGGAAAAAGTCACGCCACAGGCTCCCTGAGGCCGTAGCGAATCTGCAGCCCCTGCCTGTGCAGCGGCTCGGCTTCCTCATAGCGGCCACAAGCCTGCCACGTGGTACCCCAGTTAGGAGTGCCGGGGCTCGGAACGTTGGGCTTCATTGTGCTCCACCGCTCTTCTCAAGACTTCACGCATTTTTGCACCCGGAAAAGCCAGCTCGAGGCCTCCAGCAGCGAAGCCAAGTTGTTCATCGAACTCAGCGTGTTCGGATGCTCTTCACCAAGTTTGGCCCTGCCTCGGTGTCTTATCTCGTGTCATGCGCACTGCATCGCTTCAAAGCCTGACTCAAAGCAGTCAAAGCATCAGAATCGTGAAGCCTTCAATCCTTGTCGATCTCAACAAGTTAAGGTCGAAGACTGGGCGGTAGAAGACCTGACCCCACCTACTTCGCGCGGCACATCCAGCCTTTTGAAACCAGTCCGAAGAACTCGTTTCCGCCAAAAAATTGGAGGCTGGTGCAGCCCGACAAGTCGCAGACATGTGGCGTTCTTGCCCTGGCTACCCAGTATGCTGCTGCTTTACCTCCATCAACCCCAAGCCCAAAATCCTCTTTCGAAAACTGTGAGTCTGAACGTGACACACATGTGCCCACTTCATCCTCCTTCATGTCACGAACTTATGTTAGTGGCTGCAGTGGCGGTCGCGCAAGATCTTCAACCACAGCCCTGCAAGACTAAGTCACCCAGCTCAAACTTCAGATTGGATATACTGCACAACTATCAAACAGACCTCATCAGCTGGAGTTCGCAAGCCGCGCGAAAACAAGGCATGCACCCAGCTCCGTAGGAGCAATGCTTTTTGCGGCATCTTGCATGTGGCTCTGATGTACGGAGAGCTCTCGGCACCGAAGTCGGGCTGAGGCTCCGGCGGCCGCGCAGACACTCCTTGTACAGCTGCTCCGCTTCTTTGTGCAGGGCGCGGCCATCCAGCCTCCTCCCGAGCTCGAACATGCAGTCCAATGTGATCTCCGCGTCGTCGCCGAGCTCTCGTCGGAGGTTGGCCAAGCGACGCCGGAGCAGTCTCAGCAAACCGTCTGCCTCGGCTCCAGCATGCTTCACGCTGCCAGCATCGTCCGTCACCTGCACAACACAAACATCGCGTCCAGGATCCACTTTGCGGCCGCGGTAGTCTTCTCCAAGATTGATCCGGCGCTCCTCTCCCGTGTTTGCGTCACGGACGATCTTCTGGGCGAGATCAGGCCTGAGGATGGTAAAGCTGCCAGTGACTAGGCAGCAGGAGGCCCCTTGCAGCAGGCTATAGAGTGTATCGATTCTTGAGCCTTTTAAAATTTTACCACCCGGACTACACCGGACAGGTTAATATGAGTACTTATCTCTGCAAAACAGCTTGCAAAGGCAGTTTTCAAACAGAAATCAACACATCGAGAAGGACTGACTGCATGCCTCGGCACGTCTGCTTTTCAAAGGTGTTGTACGCGAGCTCTCTGGACACTAGAATCGGAATGCAGAAGGCTGCGCGATGGCCTCCGGCGTTGCCTGCGCCCCATTCCTTCTCCACCCGCTGAGACTCAGCATCTGTTGTCTCGCCTCAGTTTCATCGCAAATGACCCATCAGTGGCCAAAACAAGCAAGTGTCCGGCAAAACGCATCGACGACCCGGGCCCGGACGAAAGGGGCTCAAATTGCTGTAGCTGTTCAGCAAAATACGAGTGCGGGAGCCCCATACCTTGCTGCGGGCGATTTCACGGCAACTTGTCTGCGACTGTGTCTATGCTTGCCTACAGCACATGCGTGCAATAAAGCCGGCAACCGCAATGGACAAGGCAGGAGTGCCACGCAGCGCGAGAAAAGCAGGGGTATATATCGGACATACGAAGCTATCCAAGCGGTCCTATATAGCAAGTTACTAGGCAATGTGGCGCACTGAACAGTGTTTTGCCCAAGCACAGCTGGTTCATGCTGACTACAGTAGACGCCCTTCCCGAAGTGGGCCCTGGAGTCCACCATCGAGGCGAAAAGCTCGGCAGTGGTCTGTTCCATGTTGGCCACGTTGCAGAAGGCCAGCTCGTTTGTATAATGATAAAGCACACAAAGGTCCTGTTGACCTGGGCCTTCTTGGTTCGGAAGATAGCACAATAATACAGCGTGTTGCCACACGCGCACCAGACCATCCGATGCTGTGTAGTCGAATGTCAACAGCTCGTTCAGCTTGCCACTCGAGTAGAGCGAACCTTTGTAGATGTCGCCTTAGTGGCTGGCAGACACGGTCAGTTTCTCGCTGCGGACAGCTGCGATGGTTGCTGAAACCTTCAGGCTCTGCAAGACCCAGAGACACCAGAAAGCGCACACTGTGGCGCTTCAAGCCTTCTTTTCACTCTGCCCTTAGAATGCTGAGGCTCGCACCTCTCAGGTATGGGCCACGGAAATACTTTGAAAGCTCGCCGCGGCCAAGGACCTGCACTGAGCAATCTGAGCAGACCAGGCCAATGACGAAAGCAAATGAAGCCGCAAAAGCCGCAAATGATGCCTCCCGAAACTCACCCCCGTTCGGGTGCCCTGCTTTGGCGAACGGATTTCGGGGGAAAACAAGTTCGCCCACATCTGTGTGCCGTAGCCTGCCCACTCCACCTAGAAGGCCGAGAACCCTTCGGAGCGGCTCGAAGTTCAGAACCCCGTGCAGGAAATCTCCTGACCTCACCCTTTCAAAGCCTTCCATCATAGGGACAAGCTCAACATCCAGCTTCGTTCTGCCTGCTATATCTTCCTCTCGCCACGACTGGGCTCTTATCGCAGCCTCGTCACCCCAAGGACATGCCTTTGTAAGGCTCACAAGCGGTCGGCGAGGAAGCCCTCGGAAGATCTCCAAAGCCCTCAGCGCAGACCACGTGCAAATCGAATTCCCTTTCCGGACGGTGCCTCGGCCACGGCAGGGTCCATCTGGCCGCGACTTCCGGTGTTCTTGTTGGAGCTTCAGGGTGAATCCATGGTCAGAGGGGGGGCAGTCGAAAGCTTCATGCTGAGAGGCCTAGAGTTGGGCCTAGAGCCTGAAGCCCTCCTCGAGCGTGGCAAGATTGCCAAGAATTTGGCTCATGGGCCCAGGGTTCTTCTTTCTTGAATCCGTTGTGCACAAATCCTGGCAGATGCCGAAACCTGCTGTACTCAGTGGGCAAACGACACAACCGCCGAACCCAAGAAGTCGATCGAAGCATTGTGGAGGAAGGCAGTAAGCCCTGGATTTGAAGCTGCTGGGCTGCTGCCACTTTATCTTATCGCTTGCCATGGCAATCGCGGTCTAGAGTTTGTGCAAGGCCTTCTGCGGCGTTTGCGTTCGAATGTCTTCAAACCCTAGCCGAAAATCTGTCTGAAGTCCAAGTCCCCCAATAGCATAGCACATAAAGCTTCGGCAACATGCCCGGAGCGCAGACTTGCACGGCAGGTTGTTACTGTTTTCGCGACACAAGCTTGAGATATGAATGAAGCACGACCGTGCAATTTTCATCGCAGCTTCTCTGCGGCCCGTACAGGCAAGGCCTTTACATGCGTGTAGGCAATAGGCAGCCCGATCTAGAACCTCAAACAACAGGCCGAAACGCACAGGAAAAAAAGGCCAGGCCCCGCCATTCTGCTTGTCTCCGCGATTATCCCTTCTGCAACTGCGACAACAGAAATTGGCAGTGTTCTCTCAGCCGAAACCCGGAGACCGAACTCCCTATAACGCTCCAAAACATCTCCAAATATCCCACCATGCCTTACTCGAAGCGCCGGCACTGGACTCGGAGGGGGAAGTGCAGCTAGGAAATCAATTGCTGCACTGTGTCTATCTTTCGACCGCAGCACAAGTACGTTTGTCTGTGTTGAAGTTGCAGCGTGGCCCGTGGCGCACACCAAGGCTCAACCCCTAAATCCCTAAGCCCCCTGACCCGACCCAAACACCTAAAGCCTAAATCCTCCCAAATCCTAAACTCCAACGTCCCCTACACACCTAAACCCTAAGCCCAAAATTAAACCCTAACTAAACCCCTAAACCCTGACCACTAAACCCCCTAATTACTAATTAATGTCTTACGGGACCTTAGCCTGGGCCCCCTGCTTTCCGGCAGCAGCGCAGTGTGCCGCGCAGGAAAAGACATTCCTGTGGACCGGAGTGCTTGGGTTAAGTACGACGAAAGCACTTGAGGGATTTAGGGGCTTCGGGATGTGGGGGGTTCGGTAGGGGTTTCGGGCTTATGGTTTCGGACTTTCGGGTGTAGGAATTAGAGTAGACATGTTTGGGCAGACTGAGTGGGTGCCAGGCACGCTAACCGCTAAGATCAAGAGAAGCTAAAAGCATGATCACACCTGCAAGAACGCGGACACCCCTAGAAAAGCTTCAAACACGTATAGCACACAAACAGCAAGAGGACAACACCACAGTATGCTGCAAAGCCAACCATGCACAGCTTCGTCGTGTGTTGAGAGGTTGGTGGAAAGCTAATGTTAACCCTTGGGAAAAGAGTACAGTAACCCTTCTAGCCGGCTTCATCCTACCTTCCCCCAGCCCTACAGAATCTGGAGGCAAGCGCTGAGAGCGCTCAGGCGGCTTAGGCAACAAGATCCAGCAGTCACGTAAATCCTGCACTGCACCCAAACACCCAGGGCAAGACACCTTGAACCGAAAACTCAATCCAAGAAATAAAAACCACAGCCCTCAACCCAAACCCTTAAACCCTAGGCCCCTCTGGCCCGATGCTCTTTTCGTTAAGTCGACTCCTGGGCTTCGTGATGCAAAATCTTGGCGTGCCGTCCATGCGGTTTTAGGGCTTTGGTAAAGCCTGAAAGCCTTGAAGCGGTACCTTAAGGGCTCAGCTTAAGGAGTCTGCGAGGGTTTAATTAGTTTATATGGGCAATTTAAGGAGCTCCTAGTGAGATCCTTGAAAATTAGTAGGTACCGATCTAGACACCTTCTGAATGGATACCCACATACCTTCTCCTTTATAGGCACCCTGTAAACAAGTATCGTTTGATCACATAAGCGAAATACTGCGAACCCGAAATCTTAGACATCTTCAGCAGACAACTCAGGCTTCGGCCTGGAGGTACAACTGAAAAACCCGGTAGCCCAGTATGCAACTTCTTGGACGGCTTTTGCTACCACATCTAGATCAGCTGCAAGCTCGTCCAGAACGAAGTCTACAATGGCGGCTGTTGCTACGCGGAGATAGACGAGCCGGCTGGGGATCTGACACCGGCACCCATAGACAGGACAGGGCACCTGAACACAAAGCAAGCCCCAGCTCTTCGCCCGTTTCCCTTATCCCAAAAAAACCTGGAACTAGTGGGCGCCCCTGGTCCGAAACACCGAGGAATTGCATATCCCTGCAGAACAGCCTTCCTACAAGCCTATCGGCACAAACATGCGGAAAACCAGAAGCACTGAACCCGTAATGTCCAGATCCCGGCCTCAACTGAATTTTGACAACCAAAGCAGTTGTCCCTCAAAATAGCACAAGAGCAGTGATCTTCCGGGGGAGAGAAAGTTCTCTTCGGTGTCGGGGTCCTTGCGTCCTCCTCGCTGGCTGTTAAGGTCCTGCTTTAGGGTGATTGTAAGGCCCTCTCTATCCTGCGGGTTCTAGGTTCAGGCTCGAGGCTTGGGCGGCCCCTCCTAACGATGAAGGCGTTGCGACTTGTCACCTGCTTCTTCGAAGTTGGTGGCGCTCTGCTAGAACTATACGGAGCTTGGAATGTCAAACACCCAGGGCCTAGTTTGCCTTCGAAACGGCAAGATGAGGTTCACTATGGGTTTATGTCTGCATCTCGCATTCACAACTCGGATTACGGGCGTGAGAATCTTGAATCTATCCGACATCTGACCCTCAACTTGATAAAGCCTCTGATAGCCCATTTTCCCAAAGTCCAGCTCAGAAGCGGACCGCCAATCGTTCTCTGCACCGCGAGCGCCCCGTTGCTCTGGCGACTTTTGAGCAGAATGGGGCAGCGGCCGGAAATCGCAGAGCCGATTGTCAATGTCAGAGTGCACGTCTCCCTGAAATGTATGCTTGCTTCGACGAGCGTGCCCAGCTTGGCACGTCTGCAACACGAAGCAGCGACGAGTTGATCCTCTTTTGCGACCCAAGCATGGCTGGTTGCATGGAAGTCCGACCGAGGCCGCGGACTCGCAGTGTCAAGCAGGTGAACGGCCTGGTGCAGGGTTTGTGGGTGGTTATGCGGCTGAATCCGCCGACCCCTGCTGGGGCGGCGCCAGTGAAATCCCGAAGGGTTGTTTGTTTGTTTGTCTGAGGCATTGCTTTGCTCTTGCCCTTTTCCCGTCAAGACGAATTAACAGGCT